GGATCCCTGCACAGGGACACTGCACGCAGCAGGACACAGCTCACGGCACAAGAAGCACCCGGCCAGACCCAGTGCCTCCCTGAGGTTCGGCAGTGAGGGCCCCCACAGCCCCGCTCGGCCTCGCAGCATGGGAGGGGTTCTGCAGCCAGCGCCACAGCATCCATCACTGCGGTAGCTGGGGTCCTATCCAATTAACTAGAGGCCATTTAATTAAAATCTGTGAGGTGTATTGTGCCCTAGTTTTACTGGGGAGTCTGCAAGCCCCACCACACGTCTGTCTGCCAGATCGCAGCCTCGGCCTCCAGCTGCGCCCACAGGGATGGCCCCTCTGTCCCCTCCTCACCACAGGGCAGCCAGGACCCCCAGGCTGGGGGGGTCACGGCCCTCACCAGCGCCTGGCTGTGCAGCACCCACATCCCATCCCCGCGCCCTGGCTCCGCGAAGGGCCGGCGCTCCAGCGGGACGTACGTGTGCAGGAGGCAGATGGCGGGTCCGACGGCGACCGGGAGTAGTTCTTCTGGCACAAGCAGAAGGTGGAGGCTTCCTCATGCGCGAAGCTGTGCGCAGGGCAAGGAGAGCAGAGAGGGAGGCGGGCGGAGAGCTTGTAAAACCCAGGCAGGCAGGCTGAAAGGAGAGAGAGGGCATTACGGGAAGAACACCGCACGACGGACGGGGCTACGGCTGATGGCTGCATTTCCCCATAGATTCCTACACAAAACATTGGCCCTGGCTTCATCCCTGCGCGTTGTGCAGCAGAGGCGTGCGCTGGAGTAACAGCAGCTTAAATTCGCTTTTGTAGGTCATGCACAGGGTTCCCTGATGCTTTTACAAGCACCTTTGGTACACAGACCACCTGCTGGCCAAGGATGTGCCTGATCTTTCCTACCAGCAGCACACAACGCCCCGAGCAGGACACCCAGCCCTGCATCAAAGACGCATTACCTCACACAAACAGCAAAAGAGGCTGCAAAACCCCACAAAGCACTGCACAACAGCTTTGAGTTGACCCCGAAACACCCGAGGAGGGAGCAGCCTGCAGAGGACGCACCCCTGCCCAGACTGGGTGACCCCCGAGGGCTGGGGTCTCTCGGCCACGTTCCCAGCCATGCAGAAGTGCTCGAGCTTTGCCTGGCTCCCTCCTCCTCCTGGTGCGGTGCTGCTGTCGCTCCCTCCATCAGCTCCCTGAATATTTAAACCTTATCACTTGTAAAGTTCCTCGATGAGCCGCTCCTCTAACGCGGTCCCCTCTCTTATCATTTTTAAGGAGCTGGCTGCTGAGACTGTTCCTTTTAAAGCAGGTTATTCCGGCGCACCCCGCTTCATTAATTTTCAGTGCGATGTAAAGCTGGCAGCCACAGCTGCGATCTGAGGACACGGCTCTGGAGGACCCATCCCAGGGATGCTGAGAGCTGCGAGCTTTTGGAGGGGTGATTTCTTCTGGTTTTGGAAATTCAGTGCCCGCAGTAACAGGGGGGATGGCAGCGCCGGGGTCTGCACCTCCCCGGTCCCTTCGCCCCGGCCGCCAGCACACGATGGAGCCACCGGCAGCGCTGGGCACTTCTGGTTCTCATACAGAATGGATGCAGCCTCCCAGGAGCTGCCCAAAATCCCTACCCCCCCAGCCCAGCAGAACGCAGCGGATTTGGGCCCTCGAGCTCAGTCCGGCCGTGCCCAAGTAACGAGGAGAGACTCCCTTGTGTCTGGAGTGGAAGCGGCCGCTTCCCAACTGGTGTGGGCTCAAGCCAAAGAGAAGCTGCTGACAGGCAGACAACGACCTCCAACAGACAGACACCGCCCTCGAGTCACAGCGCTAAGGATGCTGAAGCTGCTCCTTCCCCAGCGAGGATCTCACTTCCTAAGCAGTGGCGAGCCAAACGTACACGTTTTGGGTTTAAAATGGCTGAAACCCTAATTAACCAGCAAAAGGCATCAGGGTTTGAGCAGCTTCACCTCATTAATGAACGAGCAGCGACAAGGAGGACGAGCTGTGCGCACCCAGCACAACCCGGCTGCAGGACGCGGCTCCAGGGTTGACGGCGGCCGCTGTTCGAGTGAAGCATGGCCGAGACTTTGCCTGCAGCAGCAAAATGAAGTTATTAATCACCCTGGCAGTGTTTACCAGCTGGTCAGCAGCCTTTTACACCGGGCACCTCTCAAACCCATCCCTGCACCAGTCGGCTGCCTCCAACAGCCGAGTTAACCCTTGTTGTCCTTCGGAAACCTCAGCCACACTGAACGCGGGACAGCACAACCACAGAGTCACTGACCACAGACAGGGCCAGGTCCTGGGGGGCAGCCAGGGCACTGACGACAGCCAAGGACAGGACTGACCCCTAGGAGCCACAGCTTCCCTCTGCAATGCATGTACCATGAAAATAAACGGGTTTTTAATCAAGTGAGAGCGAAGACCGAACCCCAGACATCACATCCCAGTGTGACCTCCCTGCATCGCACACGGTGCTGATCCATTGGGCCCATCCTGTAAACCCTGCGGTGGGGTTCAATGAGGAAATGTGAGCAGAGGCACAGGAGCATCCAGTGACACTGCCCCCGACACAGCGCAGGGCCCAGCAAAACCAAAAACCCATTTCCTGCAGCGCACGAGTCTTTAATTAAAAAGCGCTCATCACTTTGCAGAGAGGAAGTGGCCCAGACCCAAGCAAACACTGAAGCTTAGCATAAAATATCAAGAGAACGAGCAGAGATGGAAGATTAAACACCAGGCTGAAATTCCTTCATAACACGGATTTAGGAATAAAGCTACTTAACCCAGACAACTTCATGTTAATGTTAATACAGAAATCAGGCAAAACCCACCAGAACATCCCTCCTGCCCATCTCCAGAGCTGGAAGAGATGTGTGTGCACGCGTTCCTGTTGAGAGCAACGGTGCCAAGGCACAGCACCCAGCCCAGGGCAGCGGCCAAAGGGGGCAGCAGTGGCCAAAAGGGGCCTGGAAGTGGCCAAAAGGGGCCTGGAAGTGGCCAAAAGGGCTCCAGCAGCAGCCCTGCCACAGGGAAGGGATGGACACAGGGACATCAGTGTCGGGTGAGGACCACAGCCGTGGGGTGGCTGCACCGGCACCACCGGATCAACCCCTCTGGCCGCGAAGGCGATGGCCATCCCTGCGATGCCCTCGCAGCCACGCTCGCCCCTCCTGTGCCTGGCGCCATCCTCTTCATCCAGGGTCTGTTGACACCCTCAGCATTTGATGCTTTTGATGGGTTCTGCCCGTTTTTCCTACCCAAACCGTCCCAGGTCAGCTTGCTGACCCGCAAACATTGCAGATGTCCTCGAAGGAAGGAAAACCCACGCAGGACGCTGCCTGCGCCCGCGACACCGCAGGTCCCCGTGCTGCTGAGCTGCAGACAGCGGAAGAGCCACGTGCGCGCCAGCCCCGATCAATAACGCCTGCAGTTTCACCCAAAACGCCCATACAGTCATTTATAATTAACACCACGACTCGGTTGTCTTCCAAAATCAATTCCCTTCCGTTTTTTTTGTCGTGAAATTGTATTTGACAAAGTTCATCTGCTTTAAACTTGTGTTAATCTTCTCCGCTGGTGCAGGCATCCACAAAAACACCGCGTAGGAAGGACAACGGGGCAACGAGCACCAGCGAGAACCAGCGCGGACCAGCAAAGAGCCCTCCCAAAGGATGGGCTGGGGGCACAGAACGACGTTTTGGGGTGACAGAGCCGTGTCCACCAATGTCCTCAGTAACGGGGAGGTGCCTCGCCCGCAGGGCGCGATTTTGGGCTGCGAATGCAGGGGCAGCTCCTCTCCCACACGCTTCCCTTTGAATAACGGGTTTTCAATAGAGCTTCTCAGCAGCCTGCAACCCAGCACGCTTCCAAAACCTCTGGGACAACACCACTCTGTAATTTCTGCCCTGGTTAAATAATTTGAAGAGCGCTGAAATGAAAACCTATGTCCAGAGGGCAGATCTCTGCGCATCTCCAACAATGAGCTCTTAACAGCTGAAATTGAATCCCGTGATTTTAATCCAGAGGAAAATTAAATGTCCAGGAATGTTAGCAAGGCTGTCTTGAAATATCCAAAATAATGGATATCCAAAATAACGTGCAGGGCTTTTCCTCAAGGACACCAAGGAGGCCGTCACGGAGCCAACCGCAATTCACTGTGGTCCCCTCCAGCTCCCAGATGCAAATCCCAAACCAGGGCTGAGTGACTGCGTCCCCAGCGCGCCCCGCTCCTGCCAAGTGCTGATCCCCCCCCAAAACCCCCTCAGCCCCCTGTTTCCACGCAATCACCAGCAATAACCCCCTGCAGCCGGGGATCCTGACGAGAATCCCGCAAACCAACTGTGGTGCTCATCATTCTCTGAGCGGTTTGCTCCAAAATTAAGCGTCACGGAGTAATTTGTGTCTGGCTCTGCCGCTGTTTCCCCAGCCATAATTATTTCAGACACGCTGTAAAACAGCAGTATAACACGCGATCCCGAATAATAAATACCTCCAAGCTTGATCATTACTCCAAAACAAAGGACCGAAGAGGACGCGTATTTCACATGGGCGTTTGATGCACACGATGGATGGAAAGCAGCCTTCACCGTGCGGGGTCACGGCCATCGTGGGGGTCTCGGTGCCCCCAGCAGAGCCCCCCAGGTCCCAGAGGGGCTCCACCTCCTGCTCAACCCCCGGTGGGGCAATGTTGAAATTTGGAGAGGAGACCCATGTACCCATGTACCCAGCGATTGCCCCTTCAGCCACGGGGTGACCCCGCAGCCCCCTCGCTGCGCAGACCCCGTTTCCCACCCCACACGGCGCTGCCAAACCCACCCATCAGCCCCGGTGCAGCACCGGTGCGGGACGCCAGTGATGAAAGGAAAACCTGGTGCTCTGTGCAACTTACAGAACCCCGGGAGGAAAAGCAAACTTGTTATGCACAGCTCTCCAGCGCCAGTCAGGAGATGAAATAAACTCCTGAAGCACACTCAGGTTTGTAAGCTAATGTATAAAAGATGAAACAAATCCAAACCCCCAAGCATATTTGGATCCATCTCCTTTTTTTGTATTTAAACAGAAAAGCCAGACCTTAGGCTTCAGGAGGTTTCTGTGCACTAAATTACAAAGTACTGTAATTAATTATTCTAAGTTTCTTTCACTTCCAATTGAAGTATTTATTTTCCATCTAAGGAGGCTGTAGTGACCCCCAGCACCCCCAGCCCATGCACCAGCAGCTCCCGATGCAGGGACCGTCCGAGGCGGCTCTGCCACAGCATCCTGGGGCCCTGGCACTGCCCCCTCTGCCCCTGCCCCACCGGGGGCTGCACCCCCTGAGGGGGACACAGACAAACGCGGCTGCCCCACACAGCAGCCATGGAGGGAGCCCCATGGAGGGGAACAACACGAGCGGGTCCCACGCCAGAGCCGTCTCTGTCCTCACCTGCAGCCTGCAGTGCTCAGCAGCAAAAGGGCAAGCACTGCAAGGGGAGGTACAACTGCACACCAAGACTTTTTAAAAGCACTTTCCCTATTGCAGCACTTCCCTTTGGAAAATAAAAATCAATTCTTTTATCCAAGTCCACTTTCTTTCACAGTAAAACTTCCTTTAGATTTGCTCAAAACCCTGACCAAGTTTGTGTCCAAGCAATGCCCTCAAGCAATGAGGAAACCACGCTGTGTCACAGTATTTACCGCTGTGGTTTTGTCCACGAGCCTTGTTCACAAGGATGATCTCCTCAAAGGCTTCGCTTCTCCTTTTGTCCCTGCACTGCTCCAGAAGCCACCGCAGCAAGGATAACGTTGACTTTCCCGAGATACCTGTAGCCAGGCACACTCTGCCACGGGGGACACGTCCTCACCGCGCGCCGGCGCCGGGACAAGAAGTCGAACGCTCGAGTGACCGCAAGGGCGATGGGCGCCAGGCGAGGGGAGCACCAGGACGGGCAGCAGCAAAGGCAGGAGGAAAAACACCGACAGAGCCAACCCCGGGAAAACCGCGGCTCCCGGACGCCCCGGCTGCAGAGGCAGGAGGGGATGGGGCGGGCGGCTGCCCCCCACGGGCACGATTTGGTGTGGAGTGACCAGGATGGAGGGGCTGGAAATGGGGCGGGAAAAGAGCAACAACGGACGCCACATCTGAACCCCGGCCGTGCTGTCACCGATCTTGTCTCCTCATTAACAGCAACAATTATAGAGCTGCCATAAAGTGCAATTATGCTACACACAGCGCTAGATTCATCAGGCAATTACAGCCATTAATAACACTCTGGCCTGACGAGCGGAGCGCATTGGCAGCCCCGTGCCCTGAATCTTCCAGCAGACCCACGGGCCCCACAGCCGATCACGGGAGCCGCCCCCCACTACCCCAGCATCAGATGCGAGCACGGGAGCCGCTCCCCGCTACCGCAGCATCAGATGCGCGTTCCATTCTATACCACGAGCAATCACCGTTAGCAAAGACCCCTTCCTCCTAATTAGCACCGCCTTGTGCCTCATCTCCTCCCCAGGTTTCCAGCGCCAGTTCACCTGCAAAGCCCGAAATCCTTCCCGCAGGAGCTGTGAGGATGAGCCCTGCACGGGCTGAGGATGCTCCAGATGGGGAGGGAAACCCCAAACCCTGGCCAAAACCCTCCCTCCCACACCAAACTCACTTCACAGCACGTTTCCGAGTCCTGACAAAGCACTAGGAACTATTTCATCCCTAAACCGGTTTCAGTGGCGTCATCCCTACATAGGCACAGGATGCAGCCCGCTAATTAGACCATCATCTACCGTAACGAGCGCGGTGCCGGGCGATGCTGGTGAGGGGAGCAGAGCACCAGGACCTTCCCCTGCACGACAGCAGAGCTGTCAGACCTGGAGGGAAATAAATTGAGACGGAAACTGAGCTCCTGCACTAATTTACGCCTCGGTCAAAGAGCCTCTGGCAGCTATTTTAGGAAACTGGTCTCCATCACATTAATTCAGCGTCTGGTTGAAATTGTCTCATTTGCAGCAAATCTGGCTGGTAAATATTAACCTTGGGCTTTGTTGAAATTCTCCTTGCAGATATTACAAGGGACTGGGTGGAGAAAATGAAGCAGAAAGAGGCAACTTCCCGGCAGACGTCAGGCCGATCCTCCACATGGCGGTTCCACCGACACAGAGTTATTGCCACGCACCACAAAGTAAATGGCACAAAACTCACGCCCGGTAAAATTAATGGTAAAGGGACACCAATGCTGGGAAGGCTTCAGGGAACCAAACAGGGATGGATGGGGATCATCACCGCGATGTCTCACACGCCCGCCGTGCGTCTGCTGGAAATGGGCCCTAAGATGAGAGCAGAGCAGCAGCTGCTACAGACGTAGATCAGACAGGAGGAGCAGCCGAAATGCATCCACAGCGACAGCACCTCGCGTGCCGGAGCAGACGCTGAGCAGATGCCGAGGCTGCTCGGTTCCACCCCGGAGGCTGCGTCTCAGCGATCCCAAAACGATCCCTCAGCGACGCCGGGAGCGAGGGGGCTGTCAGGGCAGTGCTGCCCGCGGGATGAGGGACGGGGAGAGGCCGGGCTTTCTCCAGCTGTAATTGGCAGTGCTGTAAACCCTAATGGTCTTTATTCATCTCCCTAATTTCAGTGCAAGACACAAGTGTTCTCTCTCATGGGGTGAGTTCAGCACTTAAATCACGGTTACAAGGGACCAGCCTGGTGACTGACTGCAAACGGCTCCACCAGTCCGGTGGGAAATGAGCCCCAGGTCCCACGGGATCACCAGACATGGGGCCAACGTGTGACTGATTTGGGACACCAGCACGTCCCACAGCGCAGGCAGAAAGGCCCTGGAGGAGATCGAAGGATAAGGGAGAGCACCAGGAGCTGTGAATCAGCGCCCAAGGGAGCCTGGAGCGCCCCCACCCTCCCCTGCACCAGGGGGCAGCCCCGGGGGTCCCTGCTCCCCAAATCTGCCAGCCCTTGAATGAACTTGGGTCCAGCCTCTCCTGGTTTCCAGACCTGTGACAGAGCCAGGAAGCCTCAGGGCCAAGAAGGACCCAGCAGGCTCAGCCCTGCAAAGCCACGACCATGGGACACGGCAATGGAGCCGCATTCGCTGCTCCGACGTCCCCAGACTCCCCCGTATTTACCTGCCTCCAGCTCGAGGGCTTTTGTCCTTGTTGGAAAACTTCCGCAGCCCTGGACGCTTTCATCGGAATTCTTCTAAAGTTATTCACTTGGTGCTATGCTAATGCGGGGCTCTAAAAAACCCACACCAAAAACTTTCCACCCTTACAAACTATTTTCTGATATTTGACCAGACATCAGACGCAGCTCCACAGAGAGTGACTAATGACCTGCTTTCTGTGAGAGGGGGAAAAACTTAATTACGTCCATTAAATTACTTCAAATATTTTTCCTTGGAGGATATGAATTATTTAAACTCAACACAGAGAAACCTGAAACATTAGCAAAAGCCTTCTGGGACTCGCTATGTAAATCCCCACTCCAAACAGATGGGGAAAGCATGGCGAGCTGCCACGTAGCCACTGAAGCAACGAGCAGCGCTGAGGTTTCAATCCCACGGCTTTAACAAGGTCTCAAGGAGGGCACCACGCGAGCCAGGACCGGGCGCTGGAAGGTGCCCACCTCCTGGGGTGGCACAGCTTCAACCTGAAATGCTCCAGCGGCTCCTGAGGGACAGAGCCGATTTTGGGCTCCCCCACCGCACCGCACACCTCCAGCACGGGGAGCTGCACCCTATGGGGTTGATTCAGGGAGGCGGCAGGGCGCGGGTCCCAGGTATCGCCTGGATGGGGGGTGAGAGCAGCAAAGGGTCTTTTCAGGTGCATCCTGCTGACGGAAAACCCCATGTGTGCCACCGGCGGAGTGCTGCCTCTGCCCGAGGAGCTTTGGTAAGAGGGCAGCCCAGTTCACAACCAACAACCAGCAACACCTTCCTGAGAACACCCCCGGTGCCGGTGGTCGCAGGAACCCGCCCCAGGGCAGCCCCCACTCACGGGGACGCCACTGGCTCCCATTGCCCCTGACCCAATGCAGATCACCCTGAGCTGGGATGAGGGCCTGGCCATGGCCTGGGGCAGGGGGTGCCGTCAGCCCAGCCCCTCTCTCCTTGCAGGGGCTCACACAGAGGGGATGCACGGCAGCGGGGACCCCCATCCAGGGCTGACCCACACCGAGCTCTCGCCTGTCTTTGCTATCGAGATGGCAGCGGTGACAGCACCAGGTCCCTCAGAGCCGTTCCTGCTCAGGCAGGGGTTACATCCATTTTCACAGCTGTCATTACCCATAAACTCACGAGCTGTAAAGCCAAATTCCTAAGTTGTGTCTAAGGCACGACAACGGGGATACGAACGTTCTAGAGCCATTCCACAGCCACAGATACGGCTGGGGGGAATGCGTCGCGGTACTCG